TTAAATACTGTTTATTGGATCCAAGAGATGCTATGGAAGCTCTGCAGGGGTTAATTTGAATTTATCACCTTGAAACCTTCAAGGCTGTTGAGCAAAGCTGTGTAAGACAAGGAGGACGTGGAGATATTTTTTGTCTCTATGTGTGTGAATTTTTATATTTCAAGTTGAACTCAAAGGACAACTCTTCATTAAAATATTTTTTTCCTATCAGTGTTAATAGGGAATCCATAGGGATGAAATATATACATTGGAGATCCTATTTGAGTTGTATAATACTCCTTTGGGAGCAGGCAATTCTGGGGGGAAAAAAAAAATCAGATTTTAGTCATATTGGAGGTGTGATGTCTGGTTTTGCTCCAGACAGGCTCCTCTAAAAATTTGGTGCTTTCTGCCTGTGTAATCCTCACTTGCAGTTTAAAAATATAAACATTAAAAAAGCCTCATATTTTTATATATATATATGTGTGTGTGTGTGTGTGTGTGTGTGTATTTTAAAAAACCCAACCATATATATAAATAAATGTGTATGAGATTTAATTGCTCCCTCAGCTGATAATACATGAATCAGTGCATCAACTGGAAACTTCTCAAAAATAGTTCATTGGAAATCATTAGATTTTATATAAAGGAAGGGAAAAAAAAAAGGTTTTAAATCGTGTTCTGTGTCTCCAGAAAATGAATATTTGGCCTTGCTTCACAAGCACAGCTAAAATACAATATTTGAATCCCAATATTGAGTGTTCAGGTAGAGCATCATGGTTCAAATCTTCTTTTTCCCTCACAGGAGAAGGGGGAGCTGATGGGAAATGTTTGGTTTATGGCATTGTATTTTCAGCTTTCATTTCGTTTCGCCTCCATGTTTCTAATAGGAACCAAATGAATTTAGGCTGTGAGTGAATTTTGTCTTAACAAAGAATTCCATTGATTGGGAGTTCCAGGCCCATCGTTGGAGTTGGGTAGGAAAGAGCAGCTCCCAAATCTGCCCAGGCAAAGATAAATCACATTTATCTGTGTGCACGAACTTAGAGATAAAAATAAAAAGCCACGTCCAAATCCTATCTATATAAACGGATTGTAAGAATAAAATCGTGGATTTTTGGGTTTATTTTCAACCATTATATCTGGGAGTTCGTGTGCTCAGTGCAGAACTCTCATTGTTTGACAGAGCCCAGGTGCAAATAAAATCTTCTCCATCAGGAGCTGTAATTTGGTGTTATTTTATACTCCAGCAGAGAAGGCTCCAGATGCAGCTGGTTTTTGTCTCCCTCTTTCCTCCTTGTTGTTCAATCTCAACCTCTAAGTGAGCGCTGGGGAAAAGTGAAACTTAATGATTATGAAATTAAAAAGAATTTTAAGCAGCGAAAGCAAACTTCTGTTAGGGAGCAGTTTCTGCACACACCTGACCAAACTCTTAAAATTGTAGAAAGCAGATGTGAAATCATAAATAAAATACAGCTCTTCCTTCTTTATGTTACAATTACCACAATTTGTGCTGATGAGTGAGGGAGCTGAGGGTCTGTAGTAGCTTAATTTTATATTTTTGGGAATTTGGGGAATTACTATCCTCTACATCTCCCTTCTTGCTCCGAGTTTTTCATTAAGTTCCCCTCTCAGTCTCACAATCAGAATTCTCCTGCTCTGTCCCTGGCTATCAGATCAGTGCTTGGAAATTCCCAGTCTCCCCTTGGTTCTCTTTAAAAGATTTAAACTGAGCTTTGGAGTGTGGAGAATTTTTTAGTGAGACATGTTGGGTAGTTTCTGTTGGTGCAGTGCTTTTCTACTTTTGGCGACTTTTCTTTTAATAATACACTGAAATTACATTTTTACCATTTAAAATATAGGTAGAAACATTTTCTTCTTATGAATATTAAACTTGTGGATGAGTATTTTAACTGTGAAAAGCTGAACAGCTCTCTTGTCACTGTTTGGTTGGGATGGGAAATTTAATTCTTACTTTGAGAAAAAAAAGGGATTCTCGTTCCCTTAGGGAATGTCCATTTGAAAAGTGTGATTGCAAGAAAAACCCCACAGTTTTATAGGAAATAATGGCCTTGGGATGAAGGAGAATGGGAATAAATTAGATATTGAAAAGGAATTGTTCTCTGGGAGGGTGGGCAGGGGCTGGGATGGAATTCCCAGAGCAGCTGTGGCTGCCCCTGGATCCCTGGCAGTGCCCAAGGCCAGGTTGGACATTGGGGACAGTGGGAGGTGTCCCTGCCATGGCAGGGCTGGCACTGGGGGATCCTTAAAAAATCCCTTCCAAACCCTTCTGGGATTTTATACTTTATGAAATTTCATTTGGCTTGGCTTCAGTTCCCCTGCCCAAACCTGATGAAGAACAGTTTCAGAGTTTATTTGTGCCACCCTACAACAAGTTCAAGTTATTAAATTTACAAAGTGTGTCACTGGTGGGTTGTCAAATGCAGATTTTCTAGGACTGTGTGTGTGTGAGTAGCTGCAGATCCTGTCAGAGCCTGAACATGGAACAGCTGCAGCCTCTGGGATTCCACAATCCATTAAAACTCGGAGCAGCATCTTCCAGGATTCCCAGGAGTTTTTTCCAGCACTTTGGGTGTTCCAGAGGTGTCCAGGAGTTTCCTGAGCCGGCATTTCTCGTGTCAGTGGCCACCAGAGGCTGCTGCAGAACGGCAGATGCTGCTGGAATAGGAGAGGTTGGGAATTCCAGCTGGATCCTCGGCTTAAACCACACACTCCTGACAGGATTATATTCCTGTTCAGTGGACTTGAAGCAGAAATCAACCCTGACTTCCATATAAGTTTATTTTGCTATGTAATAAAGTTATTTTTTCTGTGCTGGTGTAATTATGGGGACAGCTCAGTGGTTCCTGGAACTTTGTGTGAAAGAAGTTCTTACAGTAAAAATCGATTTTTCTGCTGTGACCAGGAACTTTGTTAAACATGTAAACCCGTATTTTCTTACTAATTTGTAAAAATCTCCATCCTTGATTACGTGTTTATATTTTTAATTAGCTCAACAAGCACATGGATGTTATGGTGGAAATTAGCTTGAGAATTATATACATATAACAATTCTTAAATGGTTCAGGATGTGTTAGAAGCAGTGAAATCAAGAAGTTTGGCTAAAATCTATGGGGAAAAATCACTTGAAATAATATACTCAGGAGAGTAAATGGTTGGAATTGTGTGGCCTATTTGTAATAATAGAATATCACACAGAAATAGGTACTATTCTGTTCTTTTCAGAAAATATTCCGTGGCAAAAACACATCCTAAATTCTGACACACCCTCAAGCACTCTATTTATTTACAATGTCATCACACTTCAGTCACATTTATTTTGTAATTTAATTTCTGTCAGACTGTAAACCCATCCTTAGATGAGTTAAAATTCTGTTTGTGTGTGTAAGACTTGCACATCCAGTGCTACTGGGTGAATTTCAGTGTTTGGAAAGCAATAGGAAAACACTCTCTTATTAAGCACAGTTTTTCCATGTTCTCCCTGACAGAAATGAAAGCTGTAATTTTTCTAAATATCAGTTACAGCCAATCAGTTGCTGCGGGTATGTAAAACAAGTAGGATAATGTATGAGGAATTTATTTTTTCTGTCAAAGCTCTGGTGTTGCACTGAGTGAAGGTGCAAGTCAAAGAAATGCTCACAAAGCCTTTAATCATCATCACATCATCATTTACGATGCAGAGCAAAAAGTAAAAAAGGGAGGAAAGAAAATATTTAAAGATATTTTATCCAAGAGTTTAGACAGAAAATATTCAGATGGAGCCTTAGGAAAGCAAGATATGAGGAGTAATTTCTCTGTAACTAAAATTTAGCTGCTGAGTCTCTCTTAGGTTGTCCTGGGGCTTGGAACAGAGTGCTTGACAGGATTTGGGAAAAAATTCTTCTTTTCTTTGTGTCCTGCTCTGCCACTGGTGCTGCAGGGCTGACACTCAGCACAGGCTGTGAAATTTGAGAGCAGGTCATTGCTGGGGCTGGAAATCCAGAGGAAGGTGTTGGGAACAGGAGCACTTCCCTCATTCCTTCTCCAGGTAGAGCAGTGGGATGTGGAAAAGAGGAGCTTTTCCTTGGATGGATCCCTGTTCATGGGTGCTTTGCTCTCCATTTGTGGTTTGTGGGTTTTGAAGAGTTGGGCTGGAGACATCCTGTTCAAGGGCAGGAGAGCTCAGCCCTGCCTCCAGCACTCACACAAATGTATTCCAGTTCCCAGATACAGGCAGTGGGTTTGCTTAGGACCTTTTTATTTAAAAATCAAATCTCTTCATCTTGGAAATTCGAGGGCAAGAATCACTAGTGCCTTATTTCCAGTCGAATTGAAACCACAATTTTTTTGTGGTTTCATTTATCGCATAAACGACAACTTCAACTCCCTGAAATTTAAGCTACACACTGAGCAGAAAGTCCCAGAATCTGCTCCTAAAGACATGGCAAACATTTCATATCAAACCCATCAAAGCAGAATTAGTCACCTCCAGAAAGAGTGAATGTGGAGCAGTTGTTTCAGGGTGTCACCACATGGGTACCAACAGTAGTAAATCATCCCTGGGCTGAAGGCATGAGCTGTTTGAGAAGATATTCCAGTGAGAAATCAGTAAATATATTTTTTTTAACTGCTGGTTTAGCCTTGAAATCGAGTCTTAGTGATGGACTAAAGGGCTTCTTCCAGCAGAGGATCTCAGCAGGTTGAGAAGCCTGCAAGATGCAGATGAATGCTTGCACTCCATGCCCCAGCATGTGTGAAGACCACTACTAACCCTGCTACAGAGAAAAATGAAGCCTAATTAATCTTCAAAGGAGCATGGTCTCGGCTTTAGGACAGTGTCAAGTATTGAGGCCAGGCTGGACTAGAAGGAGCAGCAGAACTTAATTTTTGAAGAGGAAACAGAGTTAATTTCCCTGTTTTGAAGAGAAGATTGCTTGAATAAAAATGTTTTTGGAAGCATGCTGGTGTGTTTTTACACATGGGGTGATCTGTCTTTCTCCTCTCTTTTTCCTTGCCTGCAGGAAATCCATCTTGCTTTCCTGAAATGGCTGGAGGGGAACGTGGATGCTGAGGGATTGAGGGCATCCAGCAAGGTGTCCCTGAAATTCGTCTCATCCTGGGAGTCCCAGGTGGAGGTGACTCCATCCCTGATGCCAGTGGTCACGGAGATGGGGAGCTTCTCCTCAGAACATTTCAGCCTGAAGATTTACCAGCAGCATCTGCAAACCAAGAAACTGGGAAAGATCCTTCTTTTCACTGAGGTGACCACGACAACCATGAATCTTCTGGATGGGTAAGATGGGTTAACTTTCTAAATGGGAATTCATAACTGTGGTAGCACAAAATGTTCAGAAGGAAGCTGGACACAAAGTAGAGAACTCGATGTTCACAGGTTGTTAATTGATAATATATAAAATACTGGCCCATAAAGGGTGGGGAAAGCTGAGTGGGACAACTTTTTGCTTGGTTAGTGGAGTTTAATCTTTATTCCTCTGAACATTACCGGCAGAAAATTTAATTTAATAAGTATTCATATTTAGGAGATTAAATTCATTCTCTAATGCAAGTTCTTCTCTAAGCCTTTTACCTGAGAAGAGTGATACCAAGCAGGTTGTGCCCCTAATTTTAACATTTCCTATTTTCTCTCGTTTCTTTTGCTGAATATTTCCCTAAAATTCTCCTTAGTGCTTGGTTTGGGTTTTTAAAACGTGGATTAGGGTTCTGGAAGAGGTTCTTTCATCATCACACAGATGACCCTTGTGAATGAGCTGTGGGATACCTTAGAGAAGGTTGTTCATTAGAGTTTAAATGGGATTAAGTGATAGGAAAATCACAGTTACTAAATCTCGGCTTGGAGTCTGTGTACAAAGGCTGTACTGTTGTGTTTAGAGGAAATTTGATGGAAAAAACTGTGTTGGGGAAGTTGTTGCTCTTCAGGACAGGAACTCCAAGCCTGCTGTAAATTCCTGTGGCAGCTGGTTTTGAATATCAGGGTTAATTTATCTGCAGAAATCGCAGATGAATTTTACAGGTGAAAAACAACCTCAGGAATTTAATTTTGGGTTTTTATCTTTAATCGAGATTAAATTGACTCGAGCATTCTTGTCACTGATGAGTTAACCAACAATTATGGCTTCAGTTCTCAGCCTGAGAGCCTAAATTGCAATTTATGGACAAATACAAATTTCAATTCCAAACCATTCCCTGTGTGTTCAAACATCCCACACATGAAAATAAAGTTGCTGTCAAATTTTGCCAATCCTCTCCCCCAGATTTACATCCTGCAGCTGATTTTGCAGAGATAGAGACTTGCCAATTTGATAAGAGACCATGAAGAGTTATTTTCTAGAAATCCAGTTATTTGTAGCATTTGCTTCTTCATTTTTAGTGCTCCCAGCATGTTCAGCCCACAGGGTTGAAAGGAGGACTGTGAAGAAATTGGTGATAATTGAATAAATCAAGAGGTTTCTTCCCTCACAGTTGGTTTTGGTTCTCAGTAACTTTGTTCCAACATCTCAGTAAAATGAAGTGTTTAATTCAGAGTTTTGTGATTTGATTTGGATCAAGCTAAATAGAATCTGACCAATTTATGAATAATTAATTATCAAGGCAAGGAGGATAAGAGAAGTGGTCCTGGCTTTTCAGATATGCTTAAAGGTTGCTTTTTTATATTAAGTAATTAAATGAAATGAAGTGCTCACAAATGTAGGTCTTCAAGATTTCCCCCATCATGATGAGGCTTAAATAGTTAATTTTCAGGTAAGTTGTAAACTATAAGTTCTAATTCTACATACCTTATGTTAGGAAGTGGTCCTAGGCAGATAATAATTTGAATTATTCATTTATTAATAATCTGTCTCAAATTTATCTTACAAAAATCCCTTTGTTTTATTAATTTGCAATAATTGGCTGAAGTATTATGGTAGGTGCTGTAGGTACTCTGTTGTCATGGATAATGGAATAATGTAATCCTTGTGATTTTCAGTTCAGTGAAGAACCTTGAGATTTCAATGCTAACATATCATAAATCTCTAGAAACTGATGCAAAAATCAGGTAATTTTTATTGAGGGGAAAAATTGTCAGGTTTTCTAAGGTGCTTCCAAAGGAACTGATATGAATTTGTTAGGATGTGTGTGTGGTGCTTGTGTCTAATTGCCAGTTCTGAATAAAAGGAAAACACATCTCAAGAAAAATAATTTTCTTTGCTTGAAGAACAAATACTTATTAATCTTTCAGGATTCCCAGGAAAACGTTGCAATATTGTCTTTATGTAATCAGACATTGCAGGAGGGACTCTGTTAGGTTCTCCCACATTTGACTCTCTCTGTTTTTACCAAGTTTTGATGGTTAGAAATGTACAGACACCTCAAGAACTTAATGAATGGGATTTGTAACAAATTCTTTAATTAGTAGATTATCAAAAAAAAAAAAAAAAAATCAGCATTTAACTTCTGTGACTTCAACTTTTTCTCGTACCTCTCCCACCAACTGGATGCCAAACTTTCATCTCCTTTTTCCACCTCCCAAAATCTTCCATACCCCCCAAAAATGAAGAGCTAGAAGAGGCGGGGGGAGGGGAAAAAAGGGGCTGGAATTAATTTAATGGCTGAGCAAGCTCACAGTAGAGAAACAGCCGGAGCCTAATAGGGGCCTTTGTCTGCATTTCCACCCTGGCTGGGAACGTGCCAGTCAAAAGTCAGGCAGGAGGAACAGGTGGGAACTATTAGACCTGTCATAAAGTTTGAAAAATTGATTCTGGAGGCTGAAGGAATAGATTGGACTTGACAGTGTTGTCCTAAAGATTCTAAGGGAAAGCTGTGTCGTTTAATTTGGGATCCCTTGATTGTTCATTAGCTCTCCAGATGGTGGTTGGGGTGTTTGGTGCTCACTGTACTGTCCCTGGCCTGCATTTGTGTGTCCTGAGGTCACAGCAAAGTGGGAATTCACCTGTAGGTACCCAAAATTTAATGGCAAATAAAAACTCCTTGAAATGTCATATGTTGTTTTAAATGATCAATATTCCTTCTGTGATTTCATGTTAAAAGTCCGTTCAGGCTGTTTTTTTGTTAGCAGTGCAACTTTTATTTTCAAACTGAAATTTCAGATCCTCCCCAAACATTGTTTTTTTCTCTAGAAGGAGATTCTTTCTGTGAGTTTCAGAAACCTTTTTCTTCCCAGATGTTTATCCTAATGCCACCTGAGCAGGTTAACCCTGCCAGAAACTGTTCCACTTTCTGTGGCTCCTCAGAGCATCCCTGGGAGTGCAGGTTTTAAAATGAAACCATTGTTTTTGAGGCTGCATCTGGTGTAGTGATCCAAGTGTTACGTTATGGAGACACACTTATTACACTCAAAAAGCTTGAGATTAACAAAGCAATATTTCTATTTCTAATATTTCTGCACACCCTAATTGGCTGGAATGGTTTCACGAGCATTTCATTAAAATGAAATTCATGAGATAGAAATTTCGGTTTTATTCTTTATCTTAGATCCTGTTTCAATATTTTAGTTGGCAGAAAATTTGATTTACACATGACTAAGCCAGCATGGGATATATTCTGCATGAAATGCCATCATGGATCTCTTTTTCCCCAATATTTAAGAAGCACAAAGTGCCATTGTTAGGGAAAGTTTGACACAAAAGTGGTGAATTTTAGTGGAAGTGAAATGTGGGCTGAGATTTCTTTCCTAACTGCTGAACGGGATATTTAAATAAAATGTCAGTTGAGAATAAACAATTTCCAAACAGCTAAAAGCTTTGCAGAAGAAAATCTTTTCCATTGTTGGTACCCTTTTACTTTCCTAGATTCATGCTGCTGAATTTTGAAAAACTGAACTACAGCTGTAATTGTGGGAAGTGGGCATGAAGATTGATTTTATTTGAAAACTCTTGGTTTAGTTGAATTGAAATATGAAATATGAATGATGCTGGTGCAGGTCTGAATTAAGGAAAACCAGTTTGTAATTGAAGGGGATGGGAATGGCACTTCAGGGGCAAACAAGCTGAGGTTGACAAACTGGGTTAGGGACTGGGGGTTTTAAATTTGGTTTTCAAGTCCTTATGATATTTTACTCTGTGTTTAGTTACTCTCTGCACCTTGGTGATCCCCCTTTTTCTCCATTGAAACAATTTTTTAAAAACTGAATGATTGGGATGAACTTTAAGACCCCTTCCCACCCAAACCATTCCATGGTTCCATGATAATATTTGCATTTTAGCATGGTGGCATTCTCTCAGTACATTATTAGCCTGCTAAAAATGAATATTTTATCACCAACATTAAAGTTTGTATAAATTAACCCCTTCCACCGTCCTCCCTCAGGAATTTTGGTTGGTGAGTTGGAGAATACCATGGTGTGCAGGAAGGATTCTTCCTTGCAGGAAAGGTGCTTTTCTCTCAGAAAATAGGAAATTTAAATAGGAAATTATAAAACCATGTGCTGTTCCATAGGTTAGAGGAATTTAAACACTCTACACCTTCTATACTCCATCTTTTCTGCAGCTACATAACCCAAAAATATTTTGTCAGTTTAGATATCGAGGTCACAATAGTTCATATTGCCTTTAAAAACTCAGCTCCCTTGATTTTGTTAAACTGCAGGTTGGGATAGGAATGCTTTGCTTGATTAATGTCTTATAATCCAAAATTTGATACTAAGAGCAATAGACTTGCTCTTTACATTTATATATATATCTATATATCTATAGATCTATAGATCTATAGATCTATAGATATATAGATATATAGATATATATCTGTATAGATATATATCTATATGGATATATAGATATATATGTATGTATATGATATTCCTTCATTATTTACATCACTTTTATTACTAACTTCTTAGTTTCAATTTCTTAATTTTTTTACATGATTGAAGAACTTTGTATCCTCAAAACAAAAAAAAAGCTGGTCCATTAAATAGCTGCTTCTGTGCTTTTCTTCCTTAAGGGTGTTTTTTTATATTCAGTATTTCGTGCCTTCCTTTGGTGCTAAAGACCAGCTCAAATAAAAGAGTAAGGTTTGTTTCCCTTAAATCAAACCAAATTAAGTTCAACAGTAAGGGTTTTTTTTTTTTGCTAATTTAGATTTAAATGTGTAATATTTCATACTTTATTCATTTATAGGCAGTGATTTGCACCAGCCAGTGCTGGAGAAAGCTCGGCCTGATAACAAAAAATTTTGGTGACACAGCCAAGGTTCTGTTCCCTCCCTCGCCTGCAGAAAGGGAGGAATTTGGAAGTTTTTGGCACTAATTTTGTCCTTTGCCATCCCCAGACTTTTCCT